TATTACCGAATTATCGCTAAACGAATTTTCGAGTACGAATGAAATTTATAGTGCTAAATGTGTATGTGCAAGTAAAATTACAGGTAGTCGAACATCAAAAATCAAAGTAAAGCTACATATGTATATCATATCCAAGAGTCGGTAGTTTGCACCTTTTCCAAATTTTTAGAACTTACATTGCACCGTAGCAGTAGTCGTCTTAAGTTTGAAATNTTTAATTATAATCAAAAGATAATCTCTTATTGTCATCTTCTCAGTGTACTTAATATATGATTAACTCACCACCACCTTTCAAAAGATTTATTTATGGCAAAACCAGCTTTTCCTGTAAATCCTGTAATACCTGGAAATCGTGATTGAAAATCGGGTTGGGTTGAATCTAAACAGTTTGTTATTTTGCGAAATCCTAGGAAACGAAACAATTGCAAGCTGACACCTTTTTAATAATGGTTCAAGTTTAATTAACGTATGAGTTGTCAAAAACCATTGTTTTGAACATGCAAACCTCAAGTAAATGTCAATTACACCAATTTACAAAAGTATTTATTAAATGTAAAAACCAGTACAAACTCAAAAAATCAGTACATTTTGCGTACTGATTTCGGGCTCTTAAAAATCAGTACAATAGAAAAAAATCAGCACATGTACTGATTAAATCAGCGCATCTGGCCACCCTTCTCCAGAGGTATGCATGATGCTTTTTTAAGGTTAGGTGTGTACTCGTATTGAGAGTACAAAATTCTCCAGCAGCAAAAGTTCTGAGAATTTAGCAGCATTCGCTCTCAAAGAGACGAAATATCAACAGAAGTACGAGAACGCAAAATTTGCAAAAAACTTTCAACCTTCGAAACAGCTGATTAATGCACAGTTGCTACTGGTGATTAATTTGGCAATTTATTTTCTGCTTGGTAAATATTCCCCAGATTTGGCATTTTATACAATTGAATAGTTTTGGATAAGAAAAACGTTTTTAAAATACAAATTACTTATATCGGAATGAATAAGTTATTTTTCTCATAATTATTTGTGATTTCACATGGTCACGCATTCAAAAACAAGAGTATCTCCTCCAAACACCCATCACTGATCCAAAAAAAAATGTAATAGATATAGCTACAGATGAAGCTTTAAAATTATAAAATTTTCATTTCAACAATCAACCTACCAAAACCGAAAACTTCAGCAAAA